ATTATTTTGACGCGTCTTGTTGCGAGATTCGGTCACTGGAGTCCGAAGATTCTTTGGACAAGCCATGTCCTGCGTTTCCAAGCGGTGAGTGAGTGAGTGAGTTTAAAATCAAGTCTCTCTTAGTTTGAGATAATAAACATCCAGCCTAGAGTGAAAGCCATTTACTATCCCAACTTCTGAATCCCTTCTTGAGTAAAAATGATTATATATTTTTTATTTTCACCAGCATGTAAATTTAATGCTCACGTTCTGTAACAACTGACGCGCCATATAACACTTATTTGGCGGACAAAGTTTGTTTTAGGGGTTAGGCTTGTTGACAGTTATACTAAAGCTTTACAAAAATAGGGAGCTCGGTGCTTTGTCATAGTTTTGAACATGCCTGATGAAATATTTTTATTAGAAGCCACTTATTTGCGGAAAATGAATCAAGGTCGCGCAACCTAGATGTGTTGGCTTTTCCACCAAAGCATCGCAATGCACAAGCTCATGGGATCCAAAACTCTAGTAATAAAAGTGACTTCTACTACTTCATTTTACGTCCACAGTAGAGTGAAATAGTTTTCATTCACGTGTACCATTTGTTTTGAAAAAAAAAAACGGAATGTTAGGGTTGTTGGTCATACGTCCCTGAAGTAAAAAACATAAAGACAGGGACAGTTGAAAATACTACAAGGATATGGCAAATTTTGTACTGAATTTTTATTTCGGAAGCACACAAGTTAAAGAACAAAAAGATACTCACCAAAAACAAGAAAAAAAAAATAATTTTCCTCTTAGTTCATGACTTGCACATCGGGCATGTACGAAGAATCTTTATCAGACAGCTCTAGCGAAGGGGGGCTGGCAGAGATATCGTTGCCATGCGCTTTGATCAGGAAGCCTTTAGGAATTTGGCGAGCCTTGTTAAACTTGAATTTGCTCAACGCTTTAGTTAATTTAAGAGCTGCTTTGCTTTCACACCGGTCACAATATACGTTCCAGAGTCCAGACGGGGACTTCCTTGAAGTGGACGAGATCTCTTATTCTGTCAATGTTGCACCTCCCTGTCTGGTCCACATATATCCTCCAACAGGAAAAGGGGAAGGATCACTGGAAGCTCAGATGGAATGACAACGAAAAAATAAATAAGCATAACGCGCCACGCCACTCGGTTTCCAAAATATGTCAATGGTGTTAGGTATGAAATTACCCTTTTATGTGGAAGAATGTACTTGGGCCAGGCGAGGAGGTAAATCAATGACAGATGAAGGAAAAAATATCCCACTTCTGGAAAGCCCCCGTCTTGTCACTGGGCAGTATATTGTGACCGCTGTGAACGCAAAGCACATTAAAAAAGAAAAGAATGTGGTAAGCAAACTCAAAACAAGAATTGCATGCAAAATTTATAAAAAGCCTTCCTGATGAAATCGCATGGCGAAGATGTATGTATCAGCACCTTTTTGCTAACGTTTTGTGTTAAAGTGTTTGCATATATCCACAATGAGCAAGTGTTTTTACCGCTTTTATTTCTCGTTTTTAGAGAACACAATTTATGTTGTTTCGCTTATGTTTTCTTTCAACAAAATTTGTTGGCAATACAGGCAGCAGGCAACGCCCTTGATGTGTGCTTATTAAATGCTCCAATAGTCTATTGATCAGGCTAATAAACCATCGATGCGTGATAACGAATATTATCCTCGTTTTTTAGTTCAGTTTTGCCTGTCGTGCAGCTCCGCTAGACATCAGTTATCCTCTTTTTTCTATCGCAACGGGGATTTTTTTGGTTTCTACAATAGCCTTGTTTATTTTAAATGATCTGACCTATTATGGGACCAAATTGCTGCTGCGGTGACTTATAAGTTGACTTTGGGAGTGGCTAGTTCAATAACAATTTTATTGCGAAACAGCAATCGCGTAAATCTAAGTATCCTAGCTGGTTATCAAGGGAGCAAACGCATCTGCTTCGTATAAAGTCGCATTATATTCAAATGTATGAGAAAAATGGACTGGGCGTTTGGTACGCTGTGTTCAGTGCTTTACTGGCTTTAGTAAAGGAAGTATATAGCACTGATAAACAATTGCATTCATCGAATTAAAAAAAAGTTTCACTAAAGAACTTTGGATGTTATGGTGCTATCTTTAAAACCGTATGCACGATAACGCACTCAATTTGTGTGTATGGGAAACTGCTATTTTGCACTTATCAACTGATATAGCTAATTCTTTTTCTTTCCGTGTTGCTGTAGTTCCTGCTGCTTTTGTTTCAAAACTGCTCGTGAAAAATACAATTTTGACAAAAGCAGACTTCTTTTCTGCTTTTGTTGCGGAATGACGCCGCAAGTGAAAGACGTGCCTGACAGCGCTCCCCAGAGGGGCGTATGTAGCACTAGTGATGCTCGCTTCTATGGCAAACAGCAATATCTATTTGCTCTGCTGGTTGCAACCGGCGCTTTAACTGCAAATGCCTGGATAACAGCCCGGAAGTATAGAACATCTTTATGCAAAGTGTTGCTAGTGTCTTTAAATGAAAAGGTTGCAACCGTCAACAAGGAAATTCGACCAAGATGGGACATGGATATCAACCAATCAACTCGGCGGAGTCAACCTCCGTCACCGCTGCCAATCGAACAACATGACACCAAGTGTTTTCGCCTGATGTTCTTCGGCTTTTCACCACTATGACTGTCAAGTTGGATGCACTTACGGCTGAGGTAAAGTGCCTAAGTCTGGAAAATCCACAACTGCGCTCTTGAGTTGACGTTGCCGAAAAGGAGGATGCTCGATCGCCTTCCTTCTGCGTCGGCTCCTCTCGGCCTATACTCAGCCGCACTGGCATCCATCAAAGGTTCATCAGCTGTTCCCGACCCACCAGCAGCAATTGCAATCTCCGGACTGAAACCTACTTCTAACAGGAACACTCCCAGCCATGGTGCCTTTGTGTCTATGGCTGCACGTGCTTCTTGGCATAAAACGCCTCATGTGCCAGAGGATGACGGTTCCACCTTGGTAACAAGAAAGAAGCGAAATCCACCGATGCTTAAAATAGCCAAGTCACTCAATGTGACGTCTGCTTCTCGACAGCCTAAGCGTTTTTTTTCTAGAGACTTCATTCAAGAACGACAGCGAATGACGTAAGAGATCTTGTCAAGCCTCATCTTGGCGTCAGGCCTCTAACCGTCACACAGCTACAACCTAAATTTAATTCATTCATCTTTTCATCTCAAATGTGACTAGTCTTTGTTTGAGAGCTTAAACGTCCTTGAGGTGTGGCCTGATGAGTTTATTTTTCATATGTTTTACGGCAAACTTGACACGACTCGTTTATATATACCTGAGACAGAAAGCTTGGACGACGATACATCTACGCCCTTATATTTTTTTTATCAGAATGCTCGTGGTTTTACAACAAAAGCAGCGGAACTGATTATGAATATTCTTTCAACTGATATAGACATAGTTTGTCTGACAGAAACGTGGCTCTGTGACAGAATATCCAGTGTTGAATATTTTCCTCCAAACTATGTTGTTCACAGGAGAGATCGCGACTATGCGAACAGGGGTCAGAAAGTTGGAGGCGGGGTTTTGGTAGCTGTTGACTGTGACGTTCAGTCGCTTCGATAAGCGGATTTCGAAACCTATGCTGAGTGCGTTTGGATGAAAATTTCTGCCAGCGATGGTTTCCACTGCTTAATAGGAAACAATAATTTCCCTTCATGTTTCGACGACGTTGCCTTCATTGAACATTTTAAGACCCTCTGTAATATTGTTGATTTTTATAAATACAGGGTAGAAATTTATGGAGATATTAACCCTCCTGGTCTTGATTGGTCGACTGGAACGGCGTCGGATATGAATACTGTTCCTTCTAAAAAAGCGAAATGTTTATTTCGTTTTCAAATTTCTATGGTTCGCTCAATTTAACTGTTGCAAAATATTGCTGATAATGTGCTTGATTTATGCCTACCAAATGCACCACCCATAGAGTATCTTGTTACGGCTGTTATACCTTTGGTACCTGTTGATGCGTATCATCCTTCCTTTGTGATTCAATTTTGCTGGTCGTGTAGGCCCCGTGCTAATCGTCAGTTGTTGTCGTTTTTTTATATAAATGTAGACTATTACGGTTTCTACGATAGCCTTGCTCCGCATAATTGGTCTGATGTCCTATCGGACCAAAATGGTGATTTAGCCACAACTAAATCGACTGCTGTAGTGTCTACTTCAATGAGCGATTCTATCCCGAAATGGACACCACATAAATCTACGTATCCTAGCTGGTTCTCGAGAGACCTAAATCGCCCATTTTGTAATAAGTCTCGCTTTGATCGAATGTATAAGAAAACAGGACTATCCGTCTGGTAAGATAAATTCAGTGTTTATCGTGCTCTTGCAAAAAGTCTTTAAAAAGGATAAACTATTGCACTCGTCGAATGTTGAAAAATGTTGAACTAGAGAATATCGGACGTTCTGGTGCTATGCTAAAAATTACATGCACAACAATGCAGACAACTCATGCTTGCGTGAGTCAACTGGCTATTTGTCCTCGCCAACTGACATTACTAATAGTTTCTCTATTACTTTAGTTACTGCTCTTATAGTTTGAGAACTGCCGGTGCATCAGAAAACATTAACAACACATACTTTTTATCTGCTTTTACTGTTGACGCCTCAGAAGTTCTTGAGGTGATAGAAAAAAATTAAAACCTAAGCTCTCGACGGGAATTGACGGTATACCCAGTTTTATTAGGAAGGCTTGTTCTGATATGCCCCCCTTCTGGAACAAATATTTAACCTATATATATTGAAGTGCACTTTACCTGACACTGATTGTATTGATTGCACGATACTGATTTTACTTTATTGCAAAGTGTTGTAGAAAAAACGCATTGTTGTTAAATTCTTAAAAAAACAATATTGCTTTCCTCATCCAGAGAGTGCGACGTTTTTTTGTTTTTTTTATCGTTATGTGCTCGAGGGAAATATGATAGGTTGCGTATCTCTAGCAAGAGACCTTGGCGTCTATATTGATAACACTCTTTCGTTCACAGCGCACGTTTCTAAAATCGTTGATTAGCGATAAAAAAGTTGGGAATGATCACTCGGTTATCAAGTTCTTTCAGTTATCAGTAGCGCGTCTGTTTTGTTGCCTTGTGCGCTCAGGACTTGAATTTGGTTCAATTAGCCGGAATTCACTATATGTAACAGAAGTTGCGATGAGTGTGCGTGCACAGAAGAAATTTATGCGAATTATTTTGACGGATACATTGGTCGGAAACTGCTTTTAGTTACGATTTTTTGCTGTCTTTATTTAACTTTAAAAGTCTATCAACTAGGAGGGCTATTGGAGCATTCAATTTTATTATAAGCTAATCCGTGGTAATGTTAAAACTAAAAGTTTACTGGTTACATTCTTTCATGTGCCCTCGACACCCAGTTGCCCTTTTTAAACATTTTATTCTACTAGAACTTATTAATCATTGCTATTGTGTCGTATGCACTCTGCCTTTAGTCCTACGTACGATTTTGACGTAGATATATATTTTTCATTTTCTTAGTTTCAAGTTGGCCTTCCAAAAGTGTATTTTATCCGACCTAGAGTTACTGCAAGTTTGTATTTGCTCTGCAAACTTGTACGAGTGTCCTTAGAAATGTCTGTGTAATTTTGAGCATGTTTGCATTCTAAAAACTGTTGCTGTGGGCACCAACTGACAGTGCATCAGACAAAAGGCGTAACAGCTGTTTTTGGGCGTAAAAGAAAACTAAAATATTATTCTTATCATGATATTGTCAATGACACACAGGTAAACGAAGCTCCTCGATACCCATGTTTTCTACGCGGATGTAATGTATACCCTACCTTATTATTAAGGCCGCTTCTGATATACTTGCCGCTCTGTTGAAAACATATCTTTAGACTATATTATGTCAGTATTTTTTTTTCATTTGTAGAACCGCTCTATAGTTGTACACATCTTTAAAGCTGGTGATTCATCACTAATAATATGTACCGTCTCGTTCCGCTTTTGCGCGGATTCACGAAGGTTTTGGAAATGGTTATGCATAACCAGATTTCTAGGTATGTAAGTAAAAAACATACTATTCAGTGAAGAAAGGTAAAAAAGAAACACAGGCGAGCTGGTGAATGGTATCCATAATAACCCTGAGACGAAGGAAAAAAAAAAAAAAAGGACAGTACAACGAAGTTGTACTGTCCGTTTTTTTTTTTTATTTTTCCTTCGTCTCAGAGTTATTATGGATACTGTTCAGCATGGTTTTTATCAATGGAATGTCAGTGAGAACAAATGTGTGCGGTTTTCCAGGTTCATTTGTACCGAGAGTGACGAACAGACGCCAAAATCGATCCAGCATATTTTGACATAGAAAAGGCCTTTGACGTGTGCAGTATTCTTTACTTATTTTGAGGCTTTCTTTGTGTAGGCATTGCCCTTAGTTTTGTTATGGTTCAAGGGCTACTTTAGTTGAGGCAGTAGAACGGTCCGTGTTGGAAACTCATCTTGAGAATGTTTTTTCATAGGTCTGCTGTATCCCAAGGGTAAAACCTGGGATGACTGTTGTGTATTTTGTTTGTAAACAATATAGTTTTATGCGTCAAGCATTCGAATATCCGTCTTCTCGTTGTTAACATCAAAATTTTTTTTTAATGTTAATATCTAGGGTACTGTAAATTATTGCAAACTCATATTAATGCGATTTCCGAGTGGTGTTAAAATGCCTTGTCGCTACATCCAAAAAACATTCTTTTTATTTTAACGTGATGTTTTTTGTTTCTTTATTTACTTGAGGGCATTGCGGTAGATCGTGTACCTCATGTGGAAGATTGTGGCGTCCAGACTTGACAGTACTCTTTTATTTAGTGACCATGATCCAAAGATATTTTGTTCAGCGATAGAAACGTTGAGAACTATCACTATTTTATCACATCTTTCGCTTTACCATTATCTGTCGTGCGTCTGTTCTAACGCCTTGCACGTTCAGGACTTGAATTGGTTGAAATTGTTTGAAACTGTCTGTAACCTAAGTTGGGAGGATTAAAATGTGCAGATATAATGTAATAGAAGAATTTACGATAGAAACATTGATCGAAAATTGTTTTAGTTGTGATTTTTATATATTATTATTTAGACTTGAAAGGTTTTTTTTTTTTAACGAGGAGGGCTATCAAAAGCATTCACTTCTTTCATAAGAAAGCGCATGGTAGTGTTAAATATGAGAGTTTGCCTGTTAGTATTGACTTTTATGTGCCGACTAGAGCTAGTCGTACATTTTAATATTTTACACCCGCACAACACGTGAATCGTCACCATTGTCTCGAATGCAGTCTGTTTTTAATAACATATGCGATAGTGAAATATTTATTTTTCTTGATTTAGTTAAATATAAGCCAGCCTTGCAAAATAGTATTTTATCTGATTCAGTGGGGTGTATCAGTTGCATCTGCTTCAAAAACGTTTATTCGAGTCTTTTTTGTTTCTGTATATGTCAAACTATGTTGCTGTAAACACGAACTGACAGTATACCACAAAAAAGGCTACATTGCTGTTTATGGGAAATAAGAAAAGTAAACTTAATTATATTACTCATATTATGACACACACAGGGCAGGCATTTAAACCAGCTGTGTCCCTGCTACATACTCTCACGCCATTTTTATGTCCTTAGTATTTCATGTTCGAGCAAGAATTTATATACCACATTTATAATGAAGATTTAATCTCCATGAATATATAGCCTTTGAATACAGGGTTTAGCTTCTGCGGCGGCAACTACTACCTGGGTAATAGAAATGCTTTGCTCGAAAGCGTAATTTACACTGGAGTGATATGTTATTTATACGTATTTTATATATTACAAAAACAATCTCTCCTGAAAGATTATATAATGGTTTTCTTGTCAATGAAATTTGAGTGCTCCTTATATGTGTAAACAAAAAAATACGAATAGGACGAATAGTACAAATAAGAGGTATTCAAGTGGGGTTCCGAAAGGCAAATTAAATAAATTAATATCTATCTAATTATCTTATAATTGATAATTATACTCTGGGGAATGTAGAACAATTTTTTGTATCGTAGCTAAAAGCATAATTGAACCAAACCTTAAAAAAAGAAGAAAAAACAAACATCTATCTTGACTTTAAGCACCGCCGCTTCCGACCTTCATAAAAACGGATAATGTACCGCCCAATGGCCGTTAAATTGCCCCAACATTACACACGTTAAATATCGCAGAGTATGACTGAACTCTATAGATTACACACATTGAGCGTAAAATTGCAAGATAATAAAAATCCATTCGGCTTTCCGATACGCAAGTCTTCACCGTATCCTTTCTGTCAACTATTTAATCGCATACTGTCTTAATGCTGAAAGGTGTAACTGTAAGCATAATCGGCTTAATATTTCTGGAATTAGTATTTTCATCGTCTTAACGCTTTCATTTATATTTCCATCTTGTCCGCACAGGGTGCCTGAGCGTGACGATTCGGCGGTTGTCTGTCCCACGCTGGGTGCGTAACGGCACAGACACTCCTGTGGTGCTGGACTGCGAGTACGTGTACAACGAGAACGACCTGAAGCTGGTGGTCAAGTGGTTCTTCAATGACGGCTTGGAGCCCGTGTACCAGTGGATACCCGAGATGAAGTCGCGGGAAGCCTTCGGCGTGCTTCAGGGTCGCCTCGATCCCTCGTTTTCGGTGAACTCGAGGGACGACTACTCTCAGTACCGCGCCATCCGCATCCTCACACCCACGAGGGAGCTGAGTGGCAAGTACACCTGCGTCGTCGCCTCGCTCGCTGGGCAAGACGCAAGGCATCAGGACATGACCGTCTACGGTGAGTGACAGAGCACGCGTTGACAAGACAGACAGAGCGAAAAGTTGTTTTAACTTATATTAGAGCACGTAAAAAGAATCTAGTGCGAGGAGAGTGACTCCTATGCACGATTGCAGTTTTCGGAAGCTCTAAATAAATTCTTATATTTTCACACTGCTCAATACTGATGTCTTTATTTGGAAAGTGGCATTAACAGTAGTCCCGAAAGTTCGCCTCTTACACTTCACTTCAGTAATTGTCTGATGGCGGAATTGTAGAAAAGGAGTCACGTATCAGATTAGATTATAAGTTTTCGGTGACTGTCAATGCAGACAATTTTGTGACCACTTATAAAGAGCTGAGTATACTTTGTTTTACCGTATAGAGCAATGTTAGCTTCTGTAAGGTACAGAGACATAAAGGGCGACTGAAGACAAAAATAATGTTTTATTTTAATTGTCTCGTTGGGGTACCCGTGTCAAAAAATAAATTTTACGTAAAAAAATATATAGAGCTGTATTGACGGTGCGAGATTAATTTAAAGTTTGGCGCGCAAGTTTATGACATCACGAAATAGTCATACACTCTTTCCACCTCACCGAGATGGTCATATACTACCTCCACCTCAAAGTGATGGCAAAGCCGATTTACCTCTCCTCCACGCATCCGAGATGCCGAGGAAGAAAACAAGTGAAAAGGAGGTGACTGCAGACTAAATCACGTCTCGCGCCGTTAGTATTGCTCTGCAATATTCTTTTCATGCAAATTTTATTTTGACACGCGTGGATCAACCAAACTCTTTATTTTTTTTTTAATTTGCAGTGTAGAAGCATAATTCGAAAGGTCTGAATAATATTATAATCAATGGCTTGGAGTTTACCACTTATTGAAGCTTCCCGGAAGTGACTTCGGCATACCTGACCTTGGAGAATTTAAGGTCAGGTATTCAGGGATTCAAGAAAGATTATCTACATTTCTACTCTACCTCACAAGTTATGCGAAGCATTACAAAAGGTACAGCGTTGAGTGTTTGGCGTCAGCAGTTGAAAGTGAGAAAAAGGAGGAATTCCCCTCTTACCCGGGCTCTCCTGTGGGTAACCCCACGCCGTTCTTTACCCCCTTCGAGGTTATCACGACAGCCAAAATCCGTACAAAAGCGGCTTTTTTCTCTTTTTTATTGACAGCACTGCAGGCAACTAGGGAAGTAGAGTATAGGTACCTACTTCTTGCTCTGCTCGAAAAATGTATCGAATAAATTATTTTTGTTTATTGTTGAGGGTTTGGTGTACACTTGACATAAATGTATACTATTGAAAGCACACTCTGGTACAAGGCGACGAAAGGTTAATTTTTATTCTTGTGAACTAGCACAAGTTCGTAGGTTTATAATATAAATGAAAACGAAATTCATAAATCATATTTAGCAAACAGCATACTCGCCTTTGTAAGATCATAAAGTATCACATACACAATATCTACAACACGAGACATACACTCGGTATTAAGCAGATCACCACAAGTCATCGAGGACCGGAACGGCGAAACCGCTGGACGCGGCGCAGCCTTGTCCTGAAGACTCCAAGAAAAAACGTGGTAGGCTCGTTCCAGCCATTCTATTTCGAGGGCTATTTAGCTCACCGTTTTTCGTTGCAAATAATGTTTTACCACACTGAAACTCTTATCAGTGATTCTGGGGAGCACGTCGAGCTTTCTAGGAACCACCAACCAGAGTAAATGAATAACACCAAATAAAAATTGCTCGTTTCAGCAAAAAAGCAAAGAATAGAACCGAAATGCAGCACGGCGTTACACGGCCCGCGAAAGCTGAGGAAGAGCTGCAACTTTTTGAAACAGCTGTTGTCTTGATACCTGCCTTGTGCGAGAAATAGTGAGACCCGCCCAGCGATATCGTTCCATTCATGTTGGTGTGAAATCAATAGGACCTGTCGCATTTTTGCTGAAGCCGCAATATTATAATTTTGCTAATCTTCATTGGTGCCTAATGTACAAGATGTATATCGTTTTAACGTTCGTGCACAATTTCCTGGTTTTTTTTCACACTACCAAGCGCACCCGTTCCTAACTTCGCAAATGCTATTTTGTTTTCCTATCGATGAGGTAAGTACTGGTAAATAATTATAAATACGCGCCGTATCTCCGATTTTTGCCAAAAAAAATGTTGACGTTGTCTACCTTTTTTATGTGTGCTCCGAAATTTTTTTTTCTTGTGGGTGTGTCTGAAACTATTGTTATTACACAAACGAAACTTCCCTTCATTCTTATAAAATTCCTCGTTCAGAACCGGCTTCCCCACAGTGGAATATTTTATACAATGCTGGATTACCTCTCTCAAACAATAATTTTTTTGGTGAAGTGAGCCGTGAGCAGTTTATGACTCGGAACACCGCTTTATTTTCAAACGCACTACGTATTTTTTTTAAGACGGCAAATTTTAATTTTTTACAAAAACATGCCTGAACGTTTGGAAACAATATGTCAATAATATTGCACACTGGTGGTAGTCAACACCCTTCCCATGTTTATAATATTAATTTGTTCTCATTATTGAGACACGGGTTTTGGGCAAAAGATAAAAGGTAGTGTCCCAGGGGCCGTATCTTAAAGCGTCTTGTGTCGAATCCGGCCCGCGGGCCGCCGGTTCCCGATCCCTGGTGTATGCTGCAAACATGTTTTTTTTTTTTCTGTTTATTAATCAAAAACACAAGGTGCTAATTACAATTCATACTTAGCTTTAATATATACAGTTAATATTGAATGTTCCCTATGTACCACCTTCTTTTCGAGTATGCAGAGCGTCGGAAAAGCAATTGATGGGACTATTGTTACAATCAGTGGACATAATAACCTAAATAAAACACAAAAAAAAACATTGAACTACCAATTTATTACCGGTTCTAGCGGTCAGCTTGTAAATGGGATTTCATTGAAAGCTAATGCATGGAGCTAACCCCATTTTATATTTAAGAGTGCAAGACTTTTCAAATGGCAGCACGCCAGAGAAATGCTCAACCTGTAACAAGCTTTAGACGCTCGAGAGCTACCTGTATCAGATCAAGGCGGACAAGCTATCTGTATGCTCCATTGCCACGTGCCTTTCCCTTGCCCTCTACTACACTAACCCCTTTCCACCTTCGGCTATATAAGTAACAACATGGAATAAACCAAGGCATTGTTATCCTGATACCCGAGTTGTCTATTCTTACCAGCCCACACAAGAACGATACATGGTGTGAAAAATGGGATTGAACCGAACGTGAAGGTCGACGTCATGGAGCACCTAAGGCTGCCTGAACCAGTACAACTGACAGCTGATGGAGGAAGAAACTGGAAACTGTTTCGTCAGAGGTTCGACCTTTTCCTTCAAGCCACAGCAAGCACCGACAAGCCGAGATCGGAGGCGGCAAAGACAGCCCTGCTGCTCAGCGTGGCGGGAGAGGAAGCCTTGGACGTGTTTAACAACTTTGTGTTCACCGAAGAAGAAAACAAAGAAGACTACGCCACCGTGACTGCCAAATTCGAAGAATACTGCGTGGAGCAACAAAACGAAATTCACGAAAGATACGTCTTCCGCTCCCGTCTGCAGGGCGGGGCGGAACCGTTCGAGCAGTTTCTACGTACCTTGAAGAGACAAGCGCAGCACTGCAACTTCGGGACCATGGCAGACGAGATGGTACGCGACCAAGTGGTGTTTGGAACCAACTTGCCGAAGCTTCGAGAGAAGATGCTCAGGGACAAACACCTGACCTTGGAAAAGGTCGTCACCTTATGCAAGGCGGCAGAAACATCTGCTCGTCAAAATGAAGTCTGGCGTAAGGCAAGTGAAGAACTCGAGGTCAACGCTATGAAGACCAGCAAGAACGCTCCGACAAGCCCCCGGCGCAACCCGAACTGTACGCGCTGCAATCGAAGGCATGCCTTGCGACGCTGCCCGGCATACGGAAAGACGTGCTACTCGTGCAATGGGCGGAACCACTTCGCATCCTGTTGCCGCGAGAAAGATGCCGTTTACGAGGTACAGCATGAAAACGACGACTTCGAGGTGTTGGATGTCGCAGTCGGCAGCGCCAACAAAAAACGCGACTGGCTGGTGGACGCGTGTCTTCAAGGCAAACACCTAAGTTTCAAAGTTGACACAGGGTCACAAGCTAACGTGTTACCACTATCAGTGTTCCGCAAGTTCAAGACCGTGACGCTGAAACCCAGCGGCGCTGTTCTGAGATCCTACGGTGGCAACGTCATCAAGCACGTCGGTACATTTTTATCGCCCGTGACGGTAGGCAACCGCCACATATGCGCCGAATTTTTCGTGGTAAAGAACGGCCACAGCGCTATCTTGGGCTTGGCAGCTAGCGAGAAGCTAGGCATCGTCAATCGCGCTGTTGAAGGCGTGTCGAGGAGCAACACCGAAGCAGTCTTCCACGGAACCGGGCGTACCCCGAAAGAATACAAGATGGTGCTACGCAAGGACGCCGTGCCAATCGTTCAGCCAGCTCGAAGGGTTCCCCTGTCGCTGCGAGAGCCTCTTCGTGCAGAACTGGACCGAATGGAACGCGAAGGCATCATTCAGAAGGTCAGCAGCCCGACGGACTGGGTAAGCCCGTTAGTCATTGTACTAAAAAAAGACAGCAAGTTGCGGGTATGCATGGATCCCAGAAGGATTAATGAAAACCTGAAAAGAGAACACTACCAAATGCCTCGTAGAGAAGATATTGAAGCGGACTTGGCAGGCGCGAAGTTTTTCTCGCGTCTAGACGCAAACGCAGGGTTTCACCAAATCCCACTGGACGAGCAATCATCCAAGATATGCACGTTTGCCACGCCGTTCGGCCGTTATCGCTTTCTACGCCTTCCATTCGGCATAGCGTCAGCTAGTGAGGTGTTTCAGAAAGCCCTCAACGAAGTGTTCGAGGGCCTTCCTGGCATACGTGTATACGTGGACGATGTGCTGATCTGGGGTGCGACTAGGGCGGAGCATGACCAGAGGCTGCACGATGCACTAA